CGAAAGCTCTGTGTCTGTGGTCGCTGTGAGTATCCATGACGTCACACTAGTTTCATCTGTGTCCCAAGCTATTTATAAACACGAAAGAGACATATTAGGAGAGGTTGCTATAATTCATGGCGTTCGGGAGGTGCCGCTTCCTAGTAACAGGTGCCAACGTTTCGGCCGCCATTCTGCGGCATTCCTCAGGGCGAAATGGGAAACGTTGGCATCTGTGCCCTGGACGCGGCGTCACCCGGACAGCCAAGACTCTTCTGACTCGGGCCGCGGAAGTCTACGCTCTCGTTTGGTGTGTCTTATGCTCCAAGGGCTTCAATAGTATATAACCGCCCGACAGCGTATTGAACGTCCTGGTAACATGCGCGCACCGGTCCACTGTGGCGCTCCGGCGACGCCGACGGCTGCGGCGCGAGGTGCCAGCCGCCGCCGCTGCCGCCGCGCCGCCGGGAATCTGATCAGCATCCATCAGCGCCAGAGGCCGTGGCTTCGATCCCCGCCCACCGCGCAGACGGCGACGCGCAGCGCGGCGCGGCTGGCGCGCCCAAGGTTACGGTGTTCGCCGCCGCCGCCGCCGGCCGTCCCGGAAAATCCGGGAGTGTCCTACGATTGACTGATTTGTGGGCGGACTGTCGGTAAAGTTGCGTGTGTTATTTCTTGCTTTGTCGTAATTACCTGTGTCTCTGGCGACGTGCGAGGATTTTGTAAGTTGATTTACAGAGTCCGTGGCTCCATTCCAAGACTCGTGATTCAATCTTTTCCCTATTAACGCGGAAAATAAAGTATTTTTCTTAGTGGACTTACAGTTTGTTTTCTAAAATTTTTACTTCTAATATTGAATACATTTTCTTTAACTAAAAGAAATAAACTCCAGAAATTTAATACATTTTTATCATCATTAGATATGTAGTTGATGATTGGCATTAAATCTAAACAATGTCACAACACATTTTCAAACATTATTTCAGTTTTTTTGAAGGTGATATTTAAAAATAGGAAAATAACTATTCATTATGGTATGATTTTATCATTTTGCTAATACTTACGGCAATCGAACCAGCGTTAGTCCAAGTCGTCTGTTCTAGTCTTCTTCGCGTCCAGAAATCATCTAAAAGAAAGAAGGTTTACACACCTATTAATACATTAACAATTAATATTACTGTAAATTGGCCACTGTATCATTATCTACGAGATGAAAATTATTTTTCATACTATGTACTAAGAGTGGGTAATTTTTAGATAACTGAATTAAGATTTACCTTCGTTAAACAAGACAAAATTATTATTATTATTATTATTATTATTATTATTATTATTATTATTATTATTATTTAGGATCGCCCACTTTGGATTACCTTAGATCAATTACTTCTTATGAGGTTTTTTTCTTTATGTTTCTTCCAATATTCCTTCATTCATTATACATATTAGTTATTAATTTATTGTAACAATATTATAGAACTATTACCAAATTACGGTGCCAACAATCGCAAAATTTCCTTTGTACTCTTTTAGTGGTATTGTCTCTTTCCAAAATTTTCTGGTAGAACGATGGCCTGTTTGACAGTCTGTATTCTTAAAATAAATTTTGCAAATTTTGCAAACACATTTTATTTTTCAAAAGGTGAATATTTTTAATTTTAAACTTGAAAATCGCGGAAAAAATTATTAACTCTTTCGTAAAATATTAGGTTATACAATCCATTTGGGTTTCATTTGCGCGTTGAAATGGATATATCGACATGTCGACCGACATATGACGCGCTGACGGACGAGACAAGCAAGTCGGGCAGCAAAAAGCAAGGGCAATCTCAAAAACGACAATTTAAATAAACAAATGGACAAATTTGTTTTAAATTGTTTTAGACTTGGATTGAATAATACTTTGGTTGCTTCAATAATAATGTTCGATGTCTGTGATCTCCACAAGAAATGAGGCAAACATCTGGTTATAAATTATATTTTGCGTCTCAATATTTTACCTTCACTAATATAAACATGAAGAATTTATATTAATCACGGCGCCAGAGAAAGTTGTACTTGATTGTCCGGTTAATCAAGGAAAACCTTCGCTTTCCTACCATACTGAGAGGCTCTTCAATGTGGCAATGCAATTTTATTTAACACTACTATCTTTCTTAAATATCATAACATTCAATATTTGAAAAATTTCCCTTGTTTTGTATACAGTTCCAGGTGGTTTGTCGCCTTTTGACCTCCACTTTTCTCGATACTCCAAACCATCAATCCGTAGTTCTCTCCTCTGGCTCTTCCAGCTACTCTTTCAGTTATACCCTCTGTGTCTGTGTTCCATATTTCAAGGGATAACCAATATATTGATTTTGGCTATTTTTCTTCATTTATTCGTAGAATATGAGCATATTCCTCCCCATAGTGACGTCAAATAGTTTTAACTGTTTTTGAATTTTCCATTGCTATAAAATGTATCCTAGTGCTCCCTAGATTCTCTTCCTACTGCAGTAAAATGAGCATATGTCAGATTCCAAGCCGAAATAGTTCAGACAAATGCGGTACTAGTACGGCCCGAATTGGGCAAGGGCAGATTTAGCCAACTTCACCTAGTCCTGTATCTATGTGGTGTTAACTTAACCATCACCTGAGTGGTAAACATCACATGGTTGACCATTACCAAGCAACCTAATCCAACGATTGGGATAAAATAGCATTTGCCACTGAAACAATTATGTTTTAAAGTGTCTTCCCGGCTTTACTTCTGGAAGTATTTAACTATTTACACGGATCTGCCGACGGTGATTTTTTGAAAACATTTATCTTTTATGGATTATCCGAAACATGCGGTAATTATTTGAGTATGTATAACTATTAAGCCCTTATGATTCCGCGTGAACCAAACGATTATAGATATGTCATTATAAAAGGAAATTTGAATTTCGTAGTCACTTTTCTGGTACAGAAGAGGGTAATTCGTTGACCTATGAACTACCTCAGTATGTGAATGTGTAAAATGATCTCAAAAACAAACATCACTAATTAATTGGACAACAAATAATTTAAAGATTATAGTAAATAACTACTATCTCTCCAATTAAAAATTCTTGGAAGAAATAAAGAAGAATTTAAACCTACAGTGTTGTTCATAGAAACAGAAAACATCAACGGCAAATAACATTTTTGATGATATAAAATTTGTCACTACAACTATTGAAAGCATTTTTATATATTCTTCAGGGATAGATTCCCAAAGTCTGGAGTCAATGAACATATAAGAAGAACTATTCACAAACGTTTTAAACAGATGTAGGTGAATTACAGAAAAAAATGCAAGCTTTTCGGAAACAGTAAACACAGATTACTTAGTCAATATTTTGTGATTTGTTTGAGAAAAAATACATTGCAAATAGCTCTAGATAAATGTGATAAACTACTGCATTTATTTCAAAATATTTCTTTTACCAAGCGTCTTCCTAAAAACAACTTTAGGAACAAGTAATTGCACACTTTGGAAATATTTCTCTACGAGTCTAAACTGTAGAAAGAAGATACGTGAATACAGTTCACAAGTCAAGATAGGCGTCACCGATCCAACTCAAAAAACACTTGAGTAGTCTGCTCATCCAAAGCAAGGAGGTATTTTGTCACCTGATTTCCTGTCAGAATCAAACGATACTCTAATTCCTTTGACTAGACTATATTCTGAAACTGATATTCAAAGATAATAAATCTTACATTATCAAAAGCAATAACCTCAAATGGTTTTCGGGTTTTCAATGATATAGAATTTATAGTAATAACATTTGTATAAATAATAATAATAAGATGAATTAAGAATAATCGTGGAGACAAAATCAAGGACAAAACCTTCAAATATTTAACAAGATGCAGATCAAGAAAGACCAATCTTTGAAAACCAAGGTAGTCAAAGTATTGTAGACGCATCAACAGACACTCGATCCGATCCTTAGTAAGATGGTATCAACCGGAAGTAGATTGTATATTTAACAAACGGCCTGAAGCACATACAGTAAAATACAAAATAGTCTATCGACAGCCCCTTTGTTTACAATGATTTTTTAAAGATATTTTTTTAGAAGTGTATAGACAAGTTAGAAATAAATATAATAAAAAAACACTCAAAAACCATTTATTCTAAATATTAGTCACATTATAAGACATCCAATCTCACATAACAGCCAATAATAGCACGCTTCGAAGTTTGTTCCACCGACGAAACCACTTGCTTTAGACATGAAATCGGGGTAAAAATGAGATAGATAAATAAATTGTACTTTCAGATGCATCAGAAAAATATCCTTATTGGTACATACAAAAGTTTTATGTAATGCGTCATATTGTTCAATCTCCTTCAAATAATACGGAATTTATTGAAGCAGTTTTACAGAGATTTATATGTTAAATAGATATTTGTTTGCATTACAGAACATTCATTACCTCACAATGAACTAAGCATCCCCTATTGTTAGTTTTCAACATGCGGGATCTTATTGTAAAGCGAGTGAGGGCCCTGCTTATGCACATTTGTGTATTTATGATAAAAATTATATTCATCCTATTTTCTAGTAAAAATTTAATCCATATTTACTTCTCAATATTTTGAAATAATAATCTTGCATCTGACTACACTCAAAATTATCTTCCTTATTTACAGTGCGCAACAATGTGAGAAATAGATGACTTCACGTTCTTAGAAAATCTGGAGATCAAAATTAGTAATTGCTTTTTTATCCAGTGTTGTGTGAGGAGATTTCAACATTTATTTTCAGGGCGAATCTTGCAAAAAAGAGCAGTTTCTCAATTTAGTCATTTTTATTCAGATTTAACCTACACAGAATACAGTTAAATCGAAAAACCAATTGATAAAATCATAATTAACAAAAATTAGCCCTTAAATGAGATAGGCTGTATTATATACGACATCTACTGCCGTTTTATTGGCGAATGTGCATTGTTTCGTGTTCCAGAATTCAACTAGGCGCTCTAGGAGTCGCGTGGTTGAGCGTGTTGACAGCAATGCAAGATTAAGTCAGTGAGTGCAATATATGACACATCCGTGAGGTATGTGACAAAATTTTGTCGTTTTTTTTATGAAAGTGAATTCGGGTTTTTATCCCGGAGGACAAGATTAGGAATGAAACTTTGAGATTAGAAGAGGTCAAGTACGTTCACGATGGGATAGATAACTCAGGAAGTGAAACTGATGATAAGATATTAGCAGATGACTGATGTGAAGAATACTACGCCAGTTTTAGAGGGGATGTCGGTGAAGAGGAAGGTATGTATTTTGCTTTTTGTGTTAGAAATATCATTGTGGGTAAAGACAGGGAGACGACGTAGTTGGATACTCCCATATCTAGTCAATATTCTTTAACTGCGAGTAATAGAATATATATCAATATTTTATAATTGCGAGTTAACCCACGTGGCCAAGTATCTCATGGGCTTGAAACTACCATAATCCTACATAACAGTCAATTGATCTAAAAACTTAAACAGTCTTCAACTTCCCTTAATTTAACTTGGCGTAATGTTTACGTTCTTCAGAGTAATACAAATCACTACTTAGGGATTATTATTATTATTATTATTATTATTATTAAAGAATATTACATCCTATCCAGGCTACACTTTCCAACTCTCTGGTGTGTAGCTCACAAAAACAACATTTACCAGATGAAGCTACACCATGGTGAAGTTAAATTGCTATTTTCCTGTTTATCCAATTTGTATAAGTTAAGCTGATAATGCCATTCCAAGTTAAGCTTGTACATGCATTTAACTCTTGAAGACCAAAGCCTCTTCGAGGAGAAGAAATAAATTTAAAAATTTTAATCTTACTATCCTGAACCCAAAGAGAGCCAAAACCTTAGCAACAGTTGATAAAGTTTTCGAATTATTTTGTCTGAAAACATAATAGAACGTGTTATTGTTACCACGAATGAAGAGACTGAATGACTGAAAATCCGAAACGACCTCCCGGTCAGCGATGCTGCCGAGACAACGGTAACGCTGCCACTGAGTCACCTCGGCCGGTCGGAGCTCACGTCAAAGCGACCCAGATGTATACTACAGAGCGTTGTGGGGATGTGCGTCGCACGAGGAGACGGGGAA